CCATTTCCGAAAATTGTATTAAAATGTGCGCTCAAACGTTGCACTATGGGCGTAAGATCGGCTTGTTATATAAATTGGGGGACAATGAAAATCGTACACAACTGATTAAAGTCCTATGGAAAATGAACCCGTTACCGGAATAAACGAAAACGATATAGTTATACATAAGATGAAAGCTGTACGAACGAACTTAATGGAACAACTACGAGATATTGAAGTAAAAATTGAAGAGATCAAATCGAATATTCGTCAATATCTTAAGGAAAACAAACAACAAATGGCAAAACCTTTACTTCGAAAGAAAAATTTGCTGGAAAATACCCATAAAAAGCAGAGCCTCGCTTTACAGAATATTGAGACGCTTTTATTAAGTGTTGAAGAAGCAAAGCACAACGGCATCATCCTAGATGCTTATAAAAGCGGATCGAAGGCTTTGCAAAATATTTTTGATACTTCAAATTTGAATAATGACACCGTAACAGATATTGTTGCTGATGTCAATGAAACACATAAAGAAATCGGGGATATACTTGCTGATACGAATCTCAATGTGTCCGATTCATATGATGACAATGATTTGGAACGTGAACTTGCTCAAATTACCGGCGAGAATGTTGAAACTGAAACAAAAATTGATAATACAATCGCAAATGAACTCGTTACCGGAATAAACGAAAACTATATAGTTATACAAGATGAAAGCTGTACGAATGAACTTAATGGAACAATTGCGAGATATTGAAGTAAAAATTGAAGAAGAAGATTTGAGTTAAAACGAATCGTTTTGTCATTTGTATTTAAGAACATAATTAATAAATTTCTTCTAAATCCGGTCTAAATAAAGAAAAAATTTTACTTAACAATTTTAAAACGAAAGCCTCCAGACGAGGGAATATTTCACAAATCGAAAAATGTTGAATGTATTCGCACGAAATCAGAAGACCGCTAATAAGTTCGACGATAATTTTCCGTATCCAGGCTGTTGGCAAGATAATCTTCAGAGAGCGGATTGTTAATCCAGAACGTTTTGATTCTAAATTACAATTCTGGACAAATCTAACGCGAGATTATCGTGAGTATAAAGGCGGGGCTAGTTTTAGTAAGGGAGAATGGAAAATTCGTTTCACGAGAAATGGTCATGTGTCTACTTGTTTGGAAAATTGTGATGTAATTTGTATTTCAAGCAACGTAGCATCAACAAATTAGGCCTTTGTTGAAGGATTTGTAAAATTTTTTTAATAATAATTGAAACAAAATTGATGCGCAGTAGTTTTTGCGGTAATCCCCCTTCTTTAAAACACTCACATATTCGGAAGTGCAACGTGCCTTAGTACTCAATCAATATCGTTTGCAGAGTTATGACAATGACATTCTCTAATGAAAGATGTACAATCGAAAGATGCCTTATCTTTTACGTAGTTGAAAGTTAACTTTCGCTTTTGTATTGAGTTGTTGACAAAAAGCTTTTATACGTAATTACCTCCATGCTTTCAGTTTGTTATCTTCGCATAGAGCATGTCATTCGCTTCAATTTCGAAATAGAGTCAGCTGATTTCGGAAAAGAATTACATAAAAATGTTTGTGTAGCGCAAAACAATCAAAAGCAACAACGGCGAAAAGAAGGATTGTTATTGATATTCCTACGTTGTACCCTTTACTCCACTGCCAACAATGTTAACAGTTGGCAAGACGAACTTAAACAGTTTAAATTGGTGCTCTGTGCCATTACAACAAATCTTTTGCATTGTCTCTTTCCACCGTTAGAACTCACCAATAAACTTTCTGTCTACAGATTAGTAGTCTCTCTCATCTATTCCAAGCACAATCTATAAACTGAAAAATTTGTAGCATATCCTGACATTTACCTTTACCAAAACTTATTTACTTATCCATTTGTAAATTGTGTGTAGGTAAGGTGTCTCTATATTATTCCAACAGAATGAAGCGAGTACAGCAAATAAATTGATTCTGTTAACATAAACCAAGCCGTGTTGATAACATTCTTTAATTCGTTTCGTTTCGCGTTCAAATGCATGAATAGATTTTTGTTTATAATCATTATAAACGTTCACGAGTCTGCATTTGGCCACAATTCTGTTAAATTGCAAGAGCGAATCATGCATAAATACTCTTTTGATTTAGAGCCTGGAGGAAGAGTTCTTGGGAGTTTTTTTAAAATTAGAGAAAGCATTCATTGTTATTTTGTTTGTGAATTTTGCCTATTTTCAACATATATAATTCATATATACTATTCGTTTGGTGTGTTGGTGTGCTGTTAATGTTAAATTTTGTTTGCTCTGAGAGAATTTCTTTGATTGCTTCGCGCTATTGAGATATTGCTGGCATTGTTATTGTAAAATTTCGTTTTACGTTTCGTACTCTACAAATCAGAGAAAGATATATAAACATTCCTAAATTTACTCTCACTGCAAAGAATATTTTACTCTCAAAGAGACAAGATTTCAAATAACAAAAGAAACATATATACATTATAAATGCATACAGATTTTGATGTTTGCCGTTTTCGAATTTGCTGAGAGCAAAATTTACTTTGCTATACATTTCTTATGGATGGCCAAATTTTGTTGAGAATAAAATTTAATTTCTCGGAGTACAATTTACTTTGTTTTACTCGCGTTTGAACAAAAATAAAAAGAGAGAAAAAAATAAAGAGAGAGAATCAACACTTTTTAACAATTGCTTGCATGAATAAAAACTAAATATTTTCTAGATTTTTTTTTTTTGAATTCAAATTTTGAATGATAAGGACGTGTGCGGTTCCTGTCGCGAGGAGTTTGTGCGAAATAATATACGTAAAGCAAGTTGCGATGGTAATGAAAGTAATTATTTTTTCGTTGTCTATGGTGCAGTAGTGACGATATTAGCCAATAACAACAAATTTTAGTGAAGTATTAAAAATGAAAAACAACTCGTTTTCATTGTTGCTGTTAAATATTCGTTTTACGGATTAAACAGAGTTAGTTGTCACTTATTTTTTTTTTTTTCTCTGAATTTTCTTCTTTTTTTTGTTGTTTTTGATTAAACTTGTGTACGCTGCAACGCGTGGTGATGACTATAACCGGTGTAAATTCATAAAAATAGTTTTTATATACATATATAAATAAATATGTGTATACATATGTACATGTCTGCCTATATACATGTTTTTGTTTTTTTTGTATAATAAGCATTATTTTCGTTAAAAATATTTAAATAAAATAAAAAAAATATTTTATTTATAAATTATACTAATTAAAGTTATACGATTGGATTGTTTACATTCTCTTCTGTCACAATGTGCATATGTGTGTGTGAGTGTGTGTAAGCGTCTCTTACAGCGTAATTTTGGAAATTTGAAATTTGTGAAAAAAAAGAAGAAAAATTTACCTAAAAAAAACAAACTTGAGTTGAGAAGCGTCTACTGAGTCGTTTTAACCACACGATTTGATTTGCCCTCTTTCTTGGTTGCGGAGAAGACGTAAATGAAGTTAATTTTGCTAAAGGATATACTATATGTAAGTGGCTAACTGAAAACTCGGTGTTGTAATAACCTTAAGAGAGATTTTGTAACACACTTCTTCTTTTTTAAGTGCATGAAATACTTTTTTCGTCACCTAAAACCGCTTTATATAAAAAAAAAATGTGAATTCATTCATCCAACTATTTTAAGTAACAAAAAATGTATATATATATTTTTTCTTTGAAATCTTACTTAAAAATTAAAAATACATCGTTTGTTTTGAAATTGAAGAAATGCAATAACATCATCGCGTTTCTTTTCTCAATAGTAAAATAGTATTATATTAAAAAAAACAAAGCAAGATTGTTGAAAAAAAAAAAAAAAAAAATGCAAAACAAAACAAAACTTTAATCAGAGTCTACAATTTACTATATTGTGATGCTTATCATTAGCACCATTTATTTAACAGATGTCTCGTTAAGCCTTGCAAGAAATGTGTATATGCATATATTTAGTTTTATATATAAATATGTATTTATAACGCATCGATCAATAATTCCCGGGGCTAAGACACATAATATTGTATTCACAAAGTAAGGCAAATCTTCAAATCAAATTGCGCGGATATATTGATTACCAAACATGCTTTTTTTCTAAATTGGTAGTATTGTGACAGACATGTGTGCCAAAACGACAGCGCCTAAACGTGATTAATGTCCGAGATGCTCGACACAAAATTATTTTTTCCGATTTTGTTGAAAAGTTAGTTTGTGAAATGAATTTTTTTGAGCAAAAACGTTTAGGATATTGCACAGAGCTTTATGTGAGCAGGTTTGGTTTTTAAGTAGCATAAACGAAGGTCAAACAGGCATTGAAGGCGAAGAGCGGATAGGACGATCATCAACCAATTCCTCAAACAAAGCAGAGATTCCGTGCCCAAAACCCGTCACCTAACAATTAGGGACCTTGCTGTCGCGGTTGGCATTTCAAACGGGTCAGTCAATAATATTTTAAAAGATATTTTGATCCTGAAAAACTCTCGAATCTCGATCGTTAACGAAACTATTCAATTTCTTTGATAAACATTATCGTATTAAAATCTGTGAAGAGTCGATTTCTGACCATGAATCGGTAATGAGACACATTACTACGTGATACGACCCCGAAGCAACAGATCATTCGAGCAAATACCGTGTAAAAGGTAAATCAAAACAGGAAAACTCAGTGTCAAAGTCAGTAAACAATCAAGGCAATATTTGCAGTTTCCTTCGATTACTATGATATTGTACGGACTATGAATTCCTTTCATCGAAATAAACTGTCAACGAGGAATATTACCTAGGTTGAAGGCGATGAAATGGATTTAAAAAAGATAAAATTAAATTGGCCTTACTTTTTGAACACAGTAGTATACCAAGTCCGTCCATATTGAATGTACACTTGTAACCCAAGTAGTGCAGGGTATTTTGTATTAGTTAAGAACTGCTTTTTGATAGCGAAAAATACCGTTCATTGGCTTGAAAAAGGTTATGATAAAGCGAAGTTGCACGAGATCACTGACATTGTAGAGATATGAAAAGGATTTCCATTAACTATTTTCCATTAAAATCTGTGCATAGAAGAGCTGTGTTTCAATCAGGTCATGGACTTACTAAGAGTGCAATGAAAACATTAAAGTGTTACGTATTAGGAACGCGAGGAAAATTGCATCAATTAAAATGCGGATCGCTACTGAGGGCAAAATTCCAAAAAGATTTCAATTAGATCATGGGGATATTGCTGACATGGAACCTTGTTTTTTACCATTTTTTTATATGTCCTTCTATAAGAAGGACATTCAAATGTTAGAGGAGTACTAGATTGATTGATGAAAATCGTTAAAGAAGGCAGTCATTTTATCATGCAAATGTCAAAATGTGTTTTGATTGAATATGATTTTACATATACTTGCACATATAACTGGTATTGCATTGCTAGAGTAAAAAAAAAAAAAAAAAAAGCATTGTATAATACACGACCCCAATGCATTCATGTTATCCAGTAGTTAAGCCTGCTATACGTTAAGGAGTGAGCGACGTTTGAAAGTAAACTACGCGACTAACTTGTTAACATGAACAGCAATTAGATAGACTTGGAGAATGGAAAGCGATAAATTAATTATGTTAAATCTTTTGGGGCAATACAAAGTTACCTGGATATAAGCGCTAATAGAAATCAAAAGAACGAAACTTTTAGAAAAGACATAAGTTGCCTTGCAATCGATTACAAAGTAAAAAACAAGAGAAGAACATTATATTCGGTTGTAATCGAATCTTTCACACCCATCATCGTTATCTTGAAAAAGAGCAAAAAAAAAAAAGGAAAGGAACTAAATATTCATACTCTATTACATTAGATAGGTGCGGCTGAATATATTTGTCTTCGGAATAAAAGCTGGAAATGTATATGGTTTATGTGTTATATTTCATAAGTAACAAACAAAAAACCTGGAAAGCAAAGGTGTTCTCAGTTATTGTTGTATATGCGTGTGGGTGTTGTGGGCATGTCTTTTGACCGGTTTGGGTAACTTTCACATTATATTGCAAATTTGTAGGCGATATCTTCGTTTAGACAAATGGGAAAATGCTTACCACAGACACTACACGGTTGGGCGGACGGACGTATAGACAGACGAGCAAACCGACTTGCTTAGGCGTGTTCCGAATTCGAAATCGGACCAAGAATTTACTAAAAATTAAATTTTGTTGCACTGTAGGTGGGCGTGGTCAATTTTTCCAATATTCCAGCTGATACAATATCGTCCATAGAGTACACTCTCAAATTTGCGTAAACTTATGGGCAAAAAACGAATTCGTTATTCCTTTTGAAAAATGAAGATACTTTCAGTTTACCTAGTACTGTGGGCCGATTTGGCCAATTTTCAATACCAATCTGCGTACAAAAAAATTCTAATCTTTCTGTCGAATTTAAAGTCATTGTTTTCATTTTTGTGGCAGGAGAGTGTTAACAAGAGGGAGACGGACTTGCTTAAATCGATTTAGAATTTGATGCTGGTCAACAATATATATATACTTTGTGGGGTCTCAGAAGCTTGGTTCTGGACCTTGCGAAAGTTTTGACAAAATGAATATGCTTTTCATCCTTGGTTGATAAGTATGAGAACATTGTGTAATTCACGATGTTAATGCATTCATTGTATTCAGCGGTTAAGCCTGCTATAAATTACTGGTTGAGGGACTTCTAAAAATAAGATACGCAACTAATTAGCCAACGTGGAGAGCAATTAAAAAGCCTTGGAGAGTAGAGTGCGATAACTTAATTATGTTAAATCTTATTGAAAATTACAAAGTTAGCTGGGTAGAAGCGCTAGCAATCGATTCTAAAGTAAAAAATTGCATATGTAAAAAGAGAAATTTTTTTTTGTAAAAAGCCTTTTACTTTGTATGTCTAAAAGGTAGGTAACAAAGTTTTCACCTTTATATGGCTATACAAACATAATTGAATTTCTTCCACATTCAAACCTCAAGTTAAGTTTAGTTAGCTGGCGTTATGAAACAGTGACTGACCTAAGTGGAAGATCCTTAACCACAGCAACATAAGTTATATCTTTGCTGTGTGCATTGCGAAGCTTGTGGAACCGATTTCTGTAACAGGAAAAAAAAATTTGCCGGAAAAGTAACTTTCCCTGCTAAATACAAACGATAGTGCTACTGACGCGTAAAGCGTCATAGATAGTTGACGGATTAAGACATCTATAGCATAAACCAGCAATAATTTTGACCACTAATTATGACGATAAACGTGAATATCTGAATGGCGCCAATACATAAGGCAACGGGATAAGATGGGTGTACACAGTATTGCAGTAACAACAACTGATGCAATTAAGCGAAAGAACTTAAGCAATACATGAAACGTCACGATACCGTGGGTTCTTGGTGCAATGTCATTCGGGTGCCTATGGCTTAACTCAACCAGCTCGCTGAACTGAAATGCGTTATCCTATAATCGATGGTTTCAATTGATGAGTTGTGTCGTGCGTTTGAGAATTCTTTCCAGTACGACAATCGTCTGTTGTCGATAGCTTTTACAGGCCCGATACTCTTTCGATACGAAATTCGTTACATTGTTAGAAGAATGGCAAATACGTGTCTTTCTAGTAGCGTGAATAATATTTTTAACTATATTCTGGAAAGACATTTTTCCCTCATTTGTATCCCATTGCAAATCAGGAGCCGAACGAGACCATAGGTAAAACAAGGTGCAGAATGGTCCAGAGCTTATGATCTGCCCGTTCGGTAAGTAGGTTTTGTCCGTCCATTTTTTTTCCCATAAGCGTAAAGCACGCGTATTTCTTTTAGATGTAACCGTTTGCTGAGTGTCCTTGGGATAAAAATTGAAAACCCCTCTACATCTCGCTTACTAGCTAGCTCAGCAATGACAGATGCGTTCGTCTCTACGGCATCCGAATCTCTTCAAGTCGCACTAGCGGGTGGCCTTAAAAATAAAACAATCTGTAGTTCTATATTCAGACAGGCAGTGAGGAGTTCCAGATAGCCATTAAATAAAGATTGATCCAAAGAATAATCGCTGCTGGTTTCCCTGCTCCTGTGATAAACAATCAACAAATTTATCTTACTAAGAGATCATATAAGGTTGATGTTATCTTTCACCATGTCCACATGGCTCTTGCCCTTTCGCCCACCTTATGCAATAATTACACATTCGTTTTCCCTGAATTATTCAAAAGCATCTTATCGACTTTTACGGACCGCTGTAATCTGTCATAATCCCCATTTTCTTATATATGAATGTAATAAGTGGTAGCTGTGGTATGTCGGGATGATAAAAAAAATTCCTTTCTGCTCCTTTTGAAAGCGTCTTGATGGCTTACATTATTTTAAAATGAATTTGTATAATTTTGCATACATTTTTCAGTAAAGCCAACTCTACCAAACATGAACATTTCAATGTATACAAGCAGCATGTGAATGGTGGTTATAACAATCATAAACAAGAAAAAAGCTTATAGTGCATCAAGGCTCATCATTAAAT